GGGACGAAGTGTGGGGCACACCAGAACAGAAGAAGGATGTGTGAGTGTTTTACCAGGGTGTTTGGGGTCTCCTGGTCCCCAGGAGCCAGTTATGGTAAGGAGATATTTGGGAGTTGGGTGAGAGAGATGAAGAAGGGGAGAGACAGAGGTGGCAGAAAGGAGGGATCTTCCAGCTCTTTTCTTCCCCTTGTTTAATTGCAACCAGTGACTATTGCTATGGAATTCTTGCCTATTGGCACAAACCTGCCAGGTGCTGCATGGTGCCCAACTAGTTCTGAAGGTAGAGTTAGTGGTGCCTGGTGTACCAATGGGGGGAGAACGTGGTATGTCAAGTATGGAGAGATGCATAAGGATGTTGTACTCTTTCATTCCATTTACTGGAAAAATAAGCCTTTTTTTCTCATGTCAGGAGCGACTTGAGAAACTGCAAGTCGCTTTTGGTGTGAGAGAATGGGCCATCTGCAAGGATACTGCCCAGGGGATGCCTGGATGTTTTGACGTTTTACCATCCTTGTGGGTGGCTTCTCTCATGTCCACAAATGGGGAGCTGGAGTTGACTGAGGGAGTTCATCCACACTCTCCCCTGATTTGAACCTACGACCTGTCGGTCTTCAGTCCTGCTGGCACAAGGGCTTAACCCATTGCACCACCAGGGGCTCCTAAGCCTTAGCCTAGTAGTTCTCAACCTGGGGGTTGGGACCCCTGGGTGGGGGGTGGGGATTTGCATGGGGGTGTCAGGGCGGGTCACCAAAGACCATCAGAAAACACAGTATTTTCTGTTGGTCATGAGGGTTGTGTGTGGGAATTTTGGGCCATCTCTTTCATTGCTGGGATTCAGAATGATCTTTGATTGTAGATTAACTATAAATCCATTAACTACAACTCCCAAATGTAAATTGTGATTCCCCCAAACTCCACCAGTGTTTACATTTGGGCATATTGAGTATTCATGCCAAGTTTGGTCCAGATCCATCATCAGTTGAATCCACAATGCTCTCTAGATGTAGGTGAAGAACTCCAAAACTCAAGATCAATGCCCACCAAACCCTTCCAGTATTTTCTGTTGGTCATTGGAGTTTTTTGGATGAATGGTTCAGTTCCATCAGTGGTGGGGTTCAGAATGCTCTTTGATTGTAGGTGAACTATAAATCCCAGCAACTACAAATCCCAAGTGTCAAGTCTATTTCCCCAAACTCCACCAGTATTTACATTTGGGCATATTGAATATTCATGCCAAGATTGGTCCAGATCCATCATAGTGCTCACAGTGCTCTCTGGATGTAGGTGAAATACAACTCCAAAACTCAAGGTCAGTGCCCACCAAACCCAGTATTTTCTATTTGTCATGGGAGTTCAAGTTTGGTTCAGTTCCATCATTGGTGAAGTTGATTGTAGGTGAACTGTAAATCCCAGCAACTACAACTCCCAAATGACAAAATCAACCCCCCCCCCCAACCCCATCAGTATTCAAATTTGGACGTATTGGGTATTTGTGCCAAATTTGATCCAGTGAATGAAAATACATCCTGTATATCGGATATTTACATTACGATTCATAACAGTCGCAAAATTTCAGTTATGAAGTAGCAATGGAAATAATGTTATGTTTGGGGGTCACCACAACAAGATGAACTGTATTAAGGGGTTGCGGTATTAGGAAGGTTGAGAAACACTGTCTTAGCCCACGGGACAGCTCAAAATAGGGAAAAAAAGGTGTGACATCAGGTACTTACAAGAACTGTATGCCTTGGGAGTGCACCTGTAAATTCCCTAATGTGATGGATAAGGTTCTCTCTCTGTGTGTTGGGATGATGTTCACTTAGCCTCCTTCCAAGGAAAATGCTGCTGGAAGCAGAAATAAAATGGGAATTTGTTATCCAACTCCCACTAAATTGGTCAAATATTTGAGCTGCCAGATACTGGAAGCAAGTGGTCTGCCTGCTGTCCGCCCCACCTTCCAAAGTTCCCTTGGAGTTTCAGAAGGGAACTAGAAGGATTCTTGGAAGCCTTCACTGTCTGTGTTTTCCTTCAAGGCAGTTCTGGAGAGCAGGGAAAATGGCTGTCTCCAAGGTGGGCACCTTTAAGGGTGGCAGAATGTGGGGCAGAGAATGCTAAGTCAGGAGATGTAGCTATAGAGTTGCCGTGCAAAATAAAGGACAGAGGGAATATAAGCAAGTGTCACTCACAAGGCAAACAGTACTTGCTGAAATTCCCTCATTACAAGGCATGGGAGGCCTGTTATTTGTTTCACTTGGCAATTTCAGTGGCACTTTTTCTCCAGTAAAGGAAGGGAAAGATTAAAAGAGTGATGGGTGTCAAACCCCTCCCTCTCTAGTACAAAAGCAACCCAGAGGTCTGATAGAGTTTCTCTCTCCTAGTAACCAAAATATCCTGCATTCTGGAGTGTGAGCCATTTCTTGCCCCTTTATCAGCACAGCGAAAGCACAACTTGCCCACCTGGTTTTCCCACTCTTGGATGGGAACCCTCCCCAATAGCTTCTCACCGCTAGGGAGACTTTGGCTGACTTCCTCCCCAAGTCTTTCTCAGACAGAGCTGGTCCTTTCCCTGGCTACCAATACATCCAATTCATAAAACGGATCCAATTGGAATCTAAGAGCATGTGCAGAGAGCCCCTGGCTTACCCTACATGACTCTAAGGACCTCCTTCACCTCTGGAAGCCAGGGCATTCCATTGACAGCCCACCACTGAAGACTGGTTGAGTCTCAGAATGTGCTGAGGTTCGTCTCGCTACTCTATGACCTCTTCCACCTCTTCGTGTAAGGCATCTTGTTGATGCCATGACTGAAGCCCAATAAAGCCACAGAGCATGTGCAAAGGGCCTCTGGCATACCCTAGGCAGCTGTAAGGACGTCTTCTACCTCTGGAGGCCAGGATATCCCATTGATGCCATGGCTGAAGCCTAGTCAAGTCTCAAGAGTATACGCAGATAGCATTTGGCTTGCCCTAAGACCTCTTCCTTCTCTGGAGACCAGGACATCCAACTGATGCCATTGCTGACATTCAGGAGAGCCTCAAAGCATATACAGTGGGATTCCAGCTAGTGTTGTCAAATCTCAGAGTATACACAGAGGGCATCTGGCTTGCCCTAGGTTCTAGAATCTCTTCCGCCTCTGGAGACTAGGACATTCCATTGATTCCAGGGTTGAAGCCCAATAAAGCTTCAGAGGATATGCAGAGGGCCTGTAGCATACCCTGGGCAGTTCGAAGAACCTCCTCGACCTCTAGAGTTCAGGACATCCCATTGATGCCATGGCTGATGTTGAGGAGAGCCCCAAAGCATGTACAGAGGGAGCCCAGCTTGCTTGGAGACCTTTTCCACCTCTGGAGGCCAGGACATCCCATTGAAGCCACGACCAACGTACAGGGAAGCCCAAAAGCATATGTAGAGGCAGCCCAACTTGCCTTAGTATCTTCTTTTCCTCTGAAGGCCAGGGCATCCCATTGATGTGTGGCTGAAGCCTAGGAGAGTCCCAAAGCATGTGCTGAGGGAGCCCAGCTTGCCTGAAGATGCCCTCCACCTCTGTAGGCCAGGATATCCCATTGTTGCCATGGCTAATGTTCAGGAAAGCTCAAAGCATATGTAGAGGTAGTCCAGCTTGCCTGAGAAACTCCTCAACCCCTGGAGGTCAAGACATCCCATTGATGTATGGCTGAAACCTAGGAGAGTCCCAAAGCATGTGCAGAGGGAGCCCAGCTGGCCTGAGGATCTTCTCCACCTGTGGAGGCCAGGACATCTCATTGATTCCAAGGGTAAAACCCGATAAAGCTTCAAAGCTTGTGCAGAGGGCCTTGGAGCATATGCAGAAGGCCTCTAGCATACCCTAGGCAGTTATAAGAACATCCTCAACCTCTGAAATCCAGAACATCCCACTGATGTCATGGTTGATGTTCAGGAGAGCCCAAAGCATGTGTAGAGGGAGCCCAGTTTGCTTGGGGACCTCCTCCACCTCTGGAGGCTAGGACATCCCATGGATTCCAGGGATGAAATCCAATAAAGCTTCAGAGCATATGCAGAGGGCTTGGAGCATATTCGGAAGGCCTCTCGCATACCCTAAGAACCTCCTCGAAATCTGGATTCCAGGATATCCCAGTGATGCAATGGCCAATGTTCAGGAGAGCCCCAAAGCATGGGCAGATGTAACCCAGCTTGCCTTAGTATCTCCTTCACCTCTGGACTCCAGGGCATCCCATTGATGTGTGGCCGAAGCCTAGGAGAGTCTCAAAGCATGTCCTGAGGGAGCCCAGCTTGCCTGAGGATGTCCTCCACCTCTGGAGCCCAGGTCATCCCATTGTTGCCATGGCTGATGTTCAGGAAAGTCCAAAGCATATGTAGAGGTAGTCCAGTTTGCCTGAGGAACTCCTCCACCTCTGGAGTCCAGGGCATCCCGTTGATTCCATCGTTGAAGCCCAATAAAGCTTCAGAGCACATGCAGAGGGCCTTGGACCATATGCAAAAGGCCTCTAGCATACCCTAAGAACCTCCTCAACCTCTGGAGTCCAGGACAGCCTATTGACGTGATGTTCAGGAGAGCCGAAAGCATGTGTAGAGGAAGCCCTGCTTGCCTGGCGATCTTCTCCATTTCTGGAGGCCAAGACATCCTGTTAATTCCAAGGGTGACACCCTTCAAGCTCCAGAGCACATGCAGAGGGCCTTGGAGCATATGCAGAATACCTCTAGCATACCCTAGGACCCTCCTCGACCTCTGGAGTCAAGGGCATCCCATTGATGTGATGGCTGATGTTTAGGAGATTTCCAAAGCATGTGTAGAGGGAGCCCTGCTTGCCTGGGGATCTTCTCCACCTCTGGAGGCCAGGGCATCCATCGATTCGTGGCTGAAGCCAAGTCGGGCCTCAGAGCATGTGCAGAGAGGACTCTCGGGGCCTCCCGCGTCGAAGGGAGGGGGCAACAGGCCAGGCCTTGGAAAGGGGAGGGGAGGGGCGTTGTCTTCTCCTTGCAGCCCCTCCTCTTGCTGGCGATGGCGATGGCCTAGGAGGCAGGGAGGGGGGCTGGAGGGCCGGCCGGAGCCTCCCCCTTCCTGCCCGCCGCTCCCCGGCCCCGAGTCCCAAGCAAGGGCCGCCCAGACCCGCGGCGGAGCTGTGGCCGAGCGGAGCCGGGGCTTGGTAAGTGCGCGGTTACCGGGCCCTGGGCAGGGGGAGATGTTTACCTCCACCTCGGTCTCTTTATCCACCATGCTATGGACATCACGCTTCGATGAGTGGCCTGGACTACTTGGCTAAAGACCTTGTACAGCTCCAACTCCCAGATTCCATAGTATCTAGCCCTGGCAGCCAAAGTGGTGTCGAAGTGCATCTATTCCACAGTGTAGACGCTCCTTTCGAGGCGGGATGGAGCAACATTAGCTGTCTGGCCAGAGTTTGGGAAAGTTTGGAGTGCCTGGCACTGGGATAGGACGCTTTCCAAGCTCTGACGTTGAAGGACTGCAGGAAAAAAAAAATAAGGAGGCATCTATGGTGTAGGATTAATGCAGTTTGACATCAGTTTCAACATCCTTGGCAATATGCTATAGAATACTGGGAGATACAGTTTGCACAGTCTTCAGCTTTGGGTGCTTCAACAAACTACAACTCTCAGGACTCCACAACTTCTTGGAAGTCTTAGGATGCGTGTACAGCGAGCATGGGCAAACTTTGGGCCTCCGTGTTTTGGACTTCAGCTCCCACAATTCCTAACAGCTAGGCTGTCGATTGTGGGAGTTGAAGTCCAAAACACCTGGAGGCCCAAAGTTTGCCCATACCTGCTGCAAACGCATCCTAAAACTTCCAAGAAGTTGCAGTTATTTAAGAGCTGAAATATCATATTTGTTTCCTACTCCCTGCGGAGTGTAGGAATTTGTTTAAAATAGCCTTTTTTTCCAGGATATACTTTTCCTGGATGTGTTCGTAATCTAAATTGAATGAGGAATTAAATTCGCCATGACCCTTGGTTTTTGTTTTGTTTTGTTTTTGTCAGGAGCGACTTGAGAAACTGCAAGTTGCTTCTGGTGTGAGAGAATTGGCCGTCTGCAAGGACGTTGCCATCCTGTAGGAGGCTTCTCTCATGTCCCTGCATGGGAAGCTGGAGCTGACAGGGGGAGCTTATCCGTGCTTTTCCCAGAATCAAACCTCAGACGTTGCCCAGGGGTTGCCCGGGTGTTTGATGTTTTACCATCCTTGTGGGAGGCTTCCCTCATGTCCCCACATGGGGAGCTGGAGCTGACAAAGGGAGCTCATCCGCACTCTCCCCAGATTACCTCAGACCCTGCCCAGGAGATGCCTGAGTGTTTGATGTTTTACCATCCTTGTGGGAGGCTTCTCTCATGTCCCCTGATGGGGAGCTGGAGCTGACACAGGGAGCTCATATTTGGTGTTTTACCATCCTTGTGGGAGGCTTCTCTCGTGTCCCCGCATGGGGAGCTGGAGCTGATAGAGAGAGCTCATCTGTGCTCTTCCAGGAATCAAACCTCAGACGTTGCCCAGGGGATGCCTGGGTGTTTGATGTTTACCATTCTTGTGGAAGGCTTCTCTCATGCCCCCGCATGGGGAGCTGGAGCTGACAGAGGGAACTCATCTACACTCTCCCTGGATTCGAACTTCCAACCTGTCAGTCTGCTGTTCTGCTGGCACAAGGATTTAACCCATTGCCCCACTGGGGGCTCCTTGATAAATCAACAACAAATTAGTAACCACAAATTACTAGCAGGGTACAACAACAACAACAACAACAACAATTAGCACTGAGTTCAGATTTGGAACTAGAGTTTAGCCATCTCCTCTCAGGCCCCATCCACATTGCCATGATATTGTAGTTTGAATTGGATTATATGCAGTGTAGATTGAAATAATCCAGTTCAATATGCATTATGTGAGTCTACGCTGACCATATAATGCAGTTCAGATGGCATTATAAGTCAGTGTAGAAGGGGCCTCATTTAATCCAGTTCAAAGCAGATAATCTGGATTATTTTCTTTGGTAATCTGGATTATATGTAGAAGGGGCCTGTGTCTACACTGGCCATATACCATAATACAATTTCTAACTACATTATATGGCAGTGTAGATGGGACCTCTGATTCCAAGTCTCTAACGCAATCCTGTCATGTATTAATTTATATTTTGAACAGTCTTGAGTCACACATTAGGAGAGAAGTGGGTTATTATTGTTATTATATTGGAGCTGCGTAATATAAAGGTTTCAGCATTTGACCAGGGTTCAAATCCCTGCTCAGCCATGAAAACCATTCGGAGGCCTTGGGTGCACTCTCTCAGCTTCAGAGCAAGGCCTCCCTTGGTAAACCTATTGCCAAGAAAACCTTGTGATATGTTTGCTCTGTCTCCAAACTGGGTGTTTTTTTTAAAAAAAATTGGTTAGGGGATGTGACATATCAGGGGAGGAGAAGTAGGAGAAGGAGAAGGACAGTGAGAAGGAGAGAGGGAGGGAGAAGGAGAGGGAGAAGGAGAAGATGGAGAAGGAGAAGGAGAGGAGATGGGAGAGAGGAGAAAGAAGGAGAAAGAGAAAGAGAGGGAGAAGGGGAGGGAGAAAGGAGAGGGAGAAGGAGAAGAGAGGGGAGAGGAGAGGAGGAGAGAGAAGGAGAGGGGAGGGAGAAGGAAGAGAGAGAGAGGAGAAAGAAGGGAGAAGAGAGAGAGGGAGAAGAGAGAGGGAAGGAGAGAGAGGAAAGAAAGAGAGGAGAAGGAGAGAGAGGGGGAAGGGAGGGAAAGGGAGACAGAAAGGAGAGGGAGAAGGGAGAGAGAAGGAGAGGAGAAAGAGGGAGAAAAGAGGGAGAAGGAGAAGGAGAGAGAGAAGGAGGGAGAAGGGGAGGGAGAGGGAGAAGAAGAGAGAGAAGGAGAGGGAGAAGTAGAGGGAGAGAGAGGAGGGGAGAAGGAGGGGGAGAGAGATGATGGAGAAGGACAAGGAGAGGGAGAAGGAGAGGGAGAAGGAGAAGAAAATGGTAAGGGGAGGGAGAGGGAGAAGGAGAGAGATAAGGAGAGGGAGAGGGAGAGAGAGAGAGGGAGGAGAGGGTGAAGGAGAAAGAGGGAGAAGGAGAGGGGGAAGGAGAAGGAGAGAGAAAGAAGGAGGGAGAAGGGGAGGGAGAGGGAGAGAGAAGATAGAGAGAAGGAGGGGGAGAGAGAAGGAGATGGAGAAGGAAAAGGAGAGAGAGGAGAGGGAAAAAGAGAGGGAAGGAGAAGGAAATGATAAGGGGAGGGAGAGGGAGAAGGAGAGAGATAAGGAGAGGGAAAGGAGAGAGAGGGAGAAGGAGAGGGAGAGGGAGAAGGAGAGAAGGAGAAAGAGGGAGAAGGAGAGGGGGAAGGGGAAGGAGAAGGAGAGGGAGAGAGGGAGAAGGAGAGGGAAAGAGGAGAGAGGAAGAGAGGAGGAGAAGGAGAGGAAGAAGAGAAAGAAGAAGGAGGAAGAAGGAGACAGTGAAGGAGAGAGAGAAGGAGAGGGAGAGAGCGAAAGAGAAAGAGAAAGAAAGAGGAGAGAGAGAGGGAGAGGGAGAAGGAGATAGAGAAGTAGAAGGAGGAGAAGGAGAAAGGATGGGTATTTTGCGCAACTATTTGATGGCTTATAGAACCTCAGTGTTTAAGAGTAACCCCCCAGGGCCGTTTCTTCTGGGTCTTTGTGTTTATTAACCTTCAGAGCAGAAGATTTCAGCCTCGAGGCTCTGAGCTTTCTTGGTGCTCTATAATGTCCAACGCCTGTGGTTTCTCTTCCATTTCCCTTTGGCCTGTCTGACTTCTTTGGGAACAGCCTAGCTCCCAGTGGGCTTTGGCAGCCATCCCACATGCTCTTTCCAGGGTGAAGTTAGATGCAGCCTGCAGTATTTGTCATTGTTCTATGAAGCATTGCTTCTAAAAAGAGGGGTTTGGGAACTCATCTAGAAGAAATCTAGAACTCTAGAAGTAGACTAGAATTATTTCTCTCTCTGTACTGAGAAGGACTGCTGAGTTTTGTCTCTTCCTCCCCTTCACATCCGATGCGGAAGAGAACCAACAATTATTTTCCTTCTTTGGCTTTTGGGCCAAAGCCTATGCCAGCTTTATTCAGTTGCATTTGGCACATACAGGGAGGGGCTCGGGAAGTCTGTCTATATGTCCTGCAGAGATGACAGGGCTGGTTTCCTGGACCTCTCTTCTCTAGCCTTCCTGGGCCATAGCGTTCCAGGTCTCAATCCTAGAGGGATGTAGAGCGTGTGTGGTCAACACTGGCTCCTTGCCTTCCACTTTGTTCCAAAAGTCACAATCGCTGGGCGCCAGGCTCCCAATTACTTGCTGCTCAAGGAGCAAAGGGCTCTTTCCTGTCTCTTAATTGGATCAGGACTTCTGGAGACAAAGGAGAAAATCCTGTTCCTTTTCAAGGGCTGCTATGTTTGCTGGAGGAAAAATGCAGTCTGCATATAGCCTTTGACACCCCTAAGTCTTGACCCTGAAACCTCCCAAGACGCCCCCCTCCCAATTAAAAATAATCGTGCTAACTTTAGATAGTTCTTCATCAAAAGTATCCAAAACTACCCCAAACTGGTCACAAATGCAGATCCCTTCACCTGATTGACAGCCGACCAAAAAAGTTGGCCAAAACTGACATTCAAAAATGGAATAATATAGTCCTCAGATGTGGAGAGGAATTATCTCGGCTCTTTCTGTATTTGTCAATTTCTGGTTTAATGCAAAAGTAGCCAGTCCTGGGTTCTTGAAATATTATTTGAACCATTACTTCAAAATATGGATCAATCCAACAGTGGCAATAGTGCGCTTTGTCATAACTATATAAATAAAAAATGTAATGTTCACTTGTGGGATTAACATAACTCAAAAACCACTGGGTGAATTGACACCAAATTTGGACACAATACACCTATCAGGCCAATGAGTGACAATCACTCATAAAAACACAGMGGAAGGGACTTTAAAAGCCCCCCAAAATACATTACGACGCATGTGCAAAACCASATATATATATGCAAACACAAATATATACACATGTACACGAATATACACGCRYGCATATACAAATATATACACATACAAAACACATATACACAGACTGGGCCACAGCAACGTGTGGCAGGGGACGGCTAGTATCTATATAAATAAAAATGTAATGTTAGTTTGTAGGATTAACATAACT